AGTATTGAACAAGAAATGATGGGTGGGGTAGGGGACTATTGAACAAGAAATGATGGGTGGGGTAAGGAAGTATTGAACAAGARATGATGGGTGGGGTAGGGAAATATTAGACAAGAAATGACGAAACATTTTTTCAATCATTCCATTTCTTCATTCAGTTGTACACAACACATCGTTAGTGGTCTACAACTCCTCAGTTGAGGCAACGTCTTTCCTACCCTTGGCATATCTCGGGTTTTTCGCTGCGGTTTTTGTTCTAGTGTTTTTKATTTACAAATGGTAAGTCATCATGTCTTTTTTTTTCTCTCTACAATTCAACAAATATATTTTTAGAACAATCACTCCCCGTACGGGGCTCTTCCGAGGGGTTCCCTCTACATGCCCCACCACTACATACATGCATATAACAACATACATATTATATAACATACAGCATGCAGCATGCAACATGCAATACGCAACATGCAACAGGAGCATGCAACACACAACATGCAACAAGCAACATGCAGCATGCAACACGCAACATTCAACATGCAGCATGCAATATACAACATACAATATGCAAAACTCAACTCACACATATTATTTGCTTATTTTAGGTTTGCGAAAAATGAGAAGAAACACGTATGCTTTAAAGGAAACGCAGAATCCAATGACGTGAGTGAGGTTGATCTTAAGCTAAATTGAGTTTTTCTCCACTACAGTATTTTGCTTTTCTCTAGTCGTTTCTTTTCAAATTTATACCCAGTGAAGTATATCTTTTTAGTTTCATTAGATAATTATATTTCGGACTTTTTCCAGGAATGGTTTGATGTAGATGTGAGCCTTGAGGAAGACGTATTTGAGGTACCTCAGAATCAATTTTGTTCGCTTCGCTTTCCTTTCTTTTCAAGAGTCTCTTGATACATGGTTTTTATTCCATTACATTTTCCAGGAATGGTTTGATGCATGTGACGAGTTTAGATCGGATAAGAGCCTTGAGGATGACGTATTTGAGGTACATTAAAATTGATCAACTTGTTTTTCGCTATTCTGAACTTTTTCTCGAAATTTTTTTTTTTTTTCTCGGCTCTTCTTTTTATATTCCCTTGCAATTGCATTTTCCAGGAATGGTTTGATGCATGTGACGAGCATAGAGATGTTGACCGTGAGGAAGAAGTGTTCGAGGTAGGTCAAAGACGATCAACTTTTTTCGCTATTATTTCCTTTCACAGTTGGGTCTTTTTCTTTTTAATTGTTTTTATGTTTTTCGTTTATTTTTCTATTTCATTTCTCCAGGACTGTGTCGAAGACATAGAAAAGTCACGTAATGCAAATGTAGATGAGACGGGTTTGTTTGTGGTATGCTAAGGCCGTTTTCTCGCTCTTTGATTCTTCATTCTCTTTTATCTATTTCTTTCTCTACTCGAGGTCTTGATGGCTTTACCTTATTTCATTATTTTTCATTTTTCCCAGGTTTCTGATGACATTTCYAGCGAAGATGAAAGTGAGGACGTACTTATTGCGGTAAACTAAAATCAAATTTTCCTCAACATCATTATCAAAGCTATATCTTATTTACTTGTATAGAATTTCGAAACCAGATTTTTTCTTACAGTTTGCCGACTTCAGTTTGGAGCAAACGAAAGAGTTAATGGAAAATACAGGATTCGTTTTGACGTAAGTAGCTCGTGCTTATTGAAGTCCTCTAATCAAACCATTTAGTATATCGCTAAAGTAATCATATCGTTTACGCATGCGAACATGTGTTTTACACTTTGTGCTGTATCATAAGCTACCCATGTGGGATGCCACTAGAATGCGTTATAAGAAAAGAGGTTGCTTAGGACTGGGAAGTTTGTATGATGAATGGATGAGGAACAAAATGCGATTTTCCCCCCCAGCTTGCCTGAGAAGAACAACGGAAATCAGCCGAGCAAACAAGAAACAAAGAGAAGAAACAAAGAGAAGAAACAACTAGCTAAAGGTACGAATATAATGAGGAATAAAATCATTAAGAAATATTTGATAAGGAACTGATAAATTTATATTGATAATGCAATAATAATTCATTAACGGCATTTGTATGGATTTATTTTGATAAATTAATTATTATTAGTAAACGTACACTAACAATTGAGTACTCACATGTTTTTGTTAACAGAGCCTGGCTTGGTATTCACATTTGACATGGACGACACAAATGACGAGACGGTACTGGTGAGTATCTTCGGTGATAGACGACATCTGTGTAACCTGGTCTGCTTGGTGGCGCAAGGGGACTGGAGACTAGGAAAAGGAGGGAAACCAAATAATACTTTCCCTACCCAGGCAGGGTACAATGTGTTTTAAGATGGCGATACTGAGCTCAGAAATAATACAAAAATATATATTCTTAGTGCATAACCCATCAAGATGATTACGAGCGTGGCTCTGAGGTCAGGCGAAGAAAAGAAAGCTTCTTGATTGACTAAAACAACGACTGTATTTTTTTTTCAGTTTGGTAATTTTTCATTGGAAGAAACCGAAACCATATTAGAAGATACAAAACCATCAGAAACGTGAGTAAATAGAATAGCAATGGGAATGGGAATAGAATAAATGGCATATTTCCATGTGATAAGAAGATCATATTCAATACCAAAGGATAATTYAGTTGCTTTTCAATTTATAACTTATAAAATTTCTGTTTCTCTACAGYGTGTCAAACCAGGAAGAAAATTCCAACATTGAGAAAGAAATGGAAGAACGAAAAGAGGAAAGCGAAAAACAAGAGAAAGGTGAGAATTACACTGTGATCATTAAGGGTGATTATATGGAGTTCACAGAAATTGTAAGAAAATTCATTAATGATGTTGGTACGTTTTTGTTGAAGAATCACGAGTCAACGTTTTCAAAACGGATTGCGACATAACTGGCTGTACGAACAAGATTCCTTCGTGCAGAGAGTTGAAGGTGAGGAAGACTGGACTGAGCAGTGGAATAGCGAGTTTGAAAGGCGAGCACACGCGATTTGGCGCGAACATTCCCGCCAAATCCACAGGTAGCCCAACRAAATAAGAAAAAAAAACATTGACGATTTTAAGCCAAACTCTGGTTCTGAGATAAATTATGCAAAAATAAAATATGATTACAAGTATTCGGTTTTTTTTTTGTAGAAGTGGGAAGCCAATGAGGATGATGACAAAGCCTACGAACTACAATGTCTCGTGAAGGACGATGAAGACGACTTATTGAAGGTGTGTTGTCAGTATCACAGCAACATTTGAGTGGTGATGGGTGAACTGAATGTGCAAACAAGTTTATAACTGAGAATTTTCTGTTAGGAACAAACCATCCTGTCTGCAGAAGAAATGTACAAGTTAAACCCTAATGTACAATCGACCTTCCTAGAAGACCTAAGCCAATATACGTAAGTATTCTGGATAATATTTAGATTATGATTATCATAACATTATTAGTTCTAATAGATATTAATAATCTTTTTTTTCTTAATTTAGTACGAAACTTGACATGACATCATTAACAAAAGAGCAAATAGAGTGTGCTGAAAAGATGGCTAATGAAATCATGAAAGTAAGTCCAAAATCCATCCTCGGGAACACAGTGAACGGAATGACGTCTCTCTTAACAGTGTGATCCACTCCTTCATCAATTGCGTGTGGGACTGGACCGGGCGGTTGAGAATCTGAAACATACTGACATTTGATTTGCTCTGCTTTGCTAATCAGGAAAACAAACAGAGGAAAAACAAGCAGAGGAGAAAAAACTTCAAACAGAAAAATAGMAAATACTGAGGACCCAGAGTGACAAGGGCGGGCGGGTGGCGACGCGCTCTGGGACCAATCAACGATGAGTTACGTAAAGTGAATGATCACGTGGAGGATTACGTCACCTGTCATGTGGTCAATGACTTCCTTAATGCAAATTTACAATAACTGAAATGAACCTTTAAACAAAAATGTACAATATTAGAAACTATATATGGACTGATTGTCTGTGAGGACCCAGAGCGATAAGGGCGGGTGGGTGGCAAATTACTTTGGATCTAGATATTTAAACATGTGACATAGAGAGAGTGGTCACGTGAAGGAGTATTGTATCACGTGGTCAATTTTAATTTAAAAACGGCACAACGATCGAAATGAGTGGAACGAATGTTTACGTGAAGGAGTATTACGTCACATGTCACGTGCTCAATGACAGCCTTATGAAATGTACGATAATTGAAATGAATTAATGTAACTAGTAGTCTGGGAGGACCCAGGGTGATAAGGGCGGGAGGGTGGCTTACGTACCGCTTTGGGTCCAAATATTAAGCGCCAACTCCCGCTGATCCTATGGTCATGACGTGGTCTATGACAGAGCACAATACTGGTATACTTCAATAAAACCTGTAATTTACTTGGAAAGATGAAAATACAATATTTTGTTTTCAAAAATCTAGTTAAAATTTTTAGTAAATCGTTAAATATAATTTTCTTCTGTTACATTTTCTGACATTCTAAGTTCGACAGAGAAAATCAAACTGAYTAAAGCTTATGTTAATGTATCAGTCAGATTTGCACATGCTCGTTTTTACATTCAAGAAAGGAGAGGTTCAGGCTCAAACGAATCTTTACTGCACTCTTGTTGGTTGCACCAGAACAATAGCGGACAATAAGATTCAACACCGATAGCCTCTTGTTACACGATACTGACCAGAAAAAACGTGGGCTCGAGATTGATAACGCAACAATTTTTTACTGAATTCTGATTGGTGGACGCGAACAATTTTCCTTATTGATAATTCCTTTGATAACTCAACTGGATAACAAGTGAATATGAAGGAAACTTATTTAAAGCTCGTAAAAAAGTTTGTAAGTACATTGACGTTTCGATTGTTAGTCCGAAAGGCTTTGTGTTTTTTAAAGATAAATGACAAAATAAATCTATTAAAAGTTAACCGACATGTCTAATCTACTTTAAGGATACAACAGCTTCGAACTACTTTTTCAGCTTTCCGACTGTCATTCAAATTGAGAGGCTTAAACTTGGTTAAAATTTGTTTAAGGAAAGATATATCAAAAACTAAATCTAATAAAAGTTAGTGGACTATCTAATCTACTTTAAGGATACAACAGCTTCGAACTATTATATTTTTCCAGCGTTCACGGTCACCGAAAGTGAGAGTCTTTTATTTGTGGTTATCCTGAAATATAAAATATATAAAGTTAATTAACTATCACAACTGAACCGTATATTGGCTATCTTCAGCTCAGTGTTAATACGTAGAAAAAGTCACTCGCCTGTCCAGTGGCTATGTTGAACTTTGATTCCACCTCCAGGACGATGGAAGATGCAAGATCTATTGCCTTTGATACCATTGAACTAGTGTATACATCATGGGGTATGTTGGGATACCGTACTCGGTCTGGATAACGCATGCGTGTTGAATCTCCAACAAGACTTTCAAGCTTTGAGGCCAACCTGCTCAAGTTATCATTGTCTAGGTCATGAGCTATCTTCCTCAGATCGTGGACGTTGGTTTTATCGGCATCTATGAAATACTGTGCTGCTTTCAAGGCTTTCTCTGCGGACTGAATGGATAGACGACACTAATCAATCAATCAATCAACTTTATTTAAGCAGGGTGACACGTACTACTGTTGAATGAATMACTTTTTTTAAATGTAAGTGTCTAGTCGTTCTAGCGCTTTCGCACTAACTGGGGACACTTTTCACTCACACGCACTACCACTACATTAAATGTTCTTTGCACACAACGCTCAACTCACATGTTGATTTTTACGGAGGGAGGAAACCGGAGAACCCGGAGAAAACCCTCGTAGCATAGGAGAGAACAACACATCAAACAAACTCAATTCACATGTGGCGACCGCAGGGCTCGAACCAGCGACCCGACCCGTTGGACTCACAGCGGTGAAAGACGACGCGTTAGCCGCGAACGCCACCCATGCTACCCAACAGTTTTCAATGACAAATCTGTGGCCATTCACTACTCAAAAAATACCGTAATTTCTAAAATGTGCGGGTTTACCCTCGCTTTTGAAATAAAAAAACAAAATCAGAAATTAGAATACAAAACAACCAATCCCTGGATTCAAGGCCCCTTCATACCTGATGGCACTTAAAGCAAGCCCATTCGTACGAGGTTCTTTGATATTTAACATCATTACTTGCTGCTTCCAGATCTGCTTCCGCTTGTTTGTACCACCTTCTTGCTTCACCAGGTTGGGGGTTACGTCTGTATGACCTCCAAGGAAATTCACCATCTGTATTGAAAGAGGACCTTTGCTTTTTATGACTCCGAGCTCGGTTCTTCCAAGTCTTATAAAATGAACTGGTGAAATCTTTGTTGCTTTTGCCTTTTTCTAACACTTCGATTTCTGTTTGAATAAATTTAAAAATGCTTGTGCAAAACGTTTCATTTCCARGATTCTTATCTGGGTGCCACTTAAGGTACAAACGCTTAATGATCTTCCTTCGTTTCTCTTCAGGCTGCTTCCAAGCCTCTTGGAGAATTCTTCTGATCTCGTTTCGAATTTCATCAAGATTGGCAGACTTTTCATCTCGAGAACCAGTGAAGGGTTCCATGTCTAAACACTCACTGTTGCCCTGTTCCCCTGCCTGGCGGCTCGGGCGGTAGAACTTGTACAAATCTGCTGCGTCTACAACAATTGGTTCTTTGTCTTTTCCGATATCAATTCTGTATTTTCTTAAGCTTGGTTCTGTGYTTGAGGGTTGTCCGTGCTCGATGACTTCTTCGATGACAATTGCATAGATGTAGGTTGGGGTGCCATCTTCTCCTCGAAGACTTGGATCATCAAGCTCATAACCAACGTACTCACCAGGACTGAACACTGTGAAGTCATCCACCAGCAAGTGATGGTCTGTAATATGAATAAAGTTGCCAGGCGTTGGAAGACACGTTTCTTCAATTTTCAACGCTGAATTGTCCTCGCGAATCTTAAGTCCATCCAAGAGTCTCTTTATTTCGTAGGGTTTTGAGGACAGCAACATTGGAAGATGAACCAGCATTGTTTTCAGAAGATGTCCTGTTATTCTATCTATGATTTCAGCCACCACTGAAACGTACGTGGAAAGTTCAGCTTCCTTTTCGATGTATATCTCCCACACTGTTTCTCCCTCTTCTACCGTTTCTTCCTCGAAGCAAGAAACGTCTGCTTCACTCCCAGGTATTGCTCTACCATTGTAYACAAGCTTCGTCCGAAGGTTAGGAACGCTGCACACACGAATGCATCTCAATCTTTCTTGTACCAAGGCAGGGATATCTGTTTTGGTCTCTACATCACTGTTGTAGTCAGCATGTTTGATCAGGCGTATCATTCCATGACAAAACTCACGTGATGTCAAAACCTGCCGGAGTTCTTGTGCTGTGCTGGAACAAGAAAGGGCCTGGTTTTCTTCCACTAAGGCCTCACGAACCACGGACGTAAGCATGAGAGGACGAATGGATTCAGGAAGCTTCTTCACCAGCAGGTCTTCATTATTTACTTCCAGTTCACAGTCAGCGAGTTTAACAAGAATCAATTCCTTGAATTGCCTTATTCTTTCTTTGAGGTGTGGAGCATCATTGTACAAAATGACTGCAGACGGTCTCAAAAATACCATATTATTGATGGAATGGTCAGACGGATGATGTTTCACTCCTGGTAGGTAGAGAGGTTTAATCTCAGTGTCTTCAACTTTACTAAATGTTTCAAAAAAACCTTTTGTGGCTTTAAAAGCATTGCGTATCTCGTTAGGGTGAAGCTTCTTGTCGCCACATTCATCGTGTATATTCTTCAGTACCATCGAATACTGTGCTGCAGTGATACAGTTTGTTGTGCCAAGATTTTCAAACAATTCTGCGTAAGGTGCCAAATCACGAGGAATCTTGTACAGATATGGCTGGATTTCTTGTTCAGAGGTGATATCCACGGCCACTTGGTTTGGAAGAACAAAGCGATTGCCATCTTCAACTACGATGCAGCGGATGTTCTTCAGAAAATCAATGACTTCTTTATTGCCAGAGTAGTTCTTTTTCAGATACTTGTAAATACTTTCCATTATTRCAACAACTTTTTGAGGACCTTTTTCGCTTCGTTTTCTGTCAGACTTTTTGCTGGGATTCATTTGGCACATGTTCTTGCAATGATTGACAACCATATCAACGGATGGTTTTCGAAGAATGCCCAGTCGTCGAGCAATTTCGTTTTGCTTTGTTAGATCAAAGTCATCACAACGAAACGGATTGGCACAATCTGATAAGAGGTTAGCAGTTGTCCAGGTAATAGAGTGGTTCTTGGAGGCTACAGAGCCTTGAAAGCAAATGCACCGTGAACCAGTTTCACTCGTGCCATACTGCTCGTGGATGCYTTGCAGACTAAGATCGACGACATAAGGAAAGATGAAACATATTTCCTTAACATCATCCAGTAGTTTGCTGGTTGCGATGTTCTCAGATTCGAATAGGTAAGTTACCAAAGCTTCCGATTTCTTTCTCGTTCCATCGTCTTGCCTTGTTTTAGCTTCTGATTCGATTTGCTTGGCAAACTGCACGAACTTCTCGTCAGTGACTTTATGGATGAGTCCTATCCGACGTAGAAAGGGTAGCCATTTGTCGTCACAAAACGGTTCTGGTGGAAACATCTCTTGGTTGTTTTTAAACATTGCAGCAAAAACTTTGTTGGATGGATCATAAAAGGAAGATGCTGGTTTTAAAGTGGCCCCATCTTCTTCCGCAATAAACTTCAAATTACAGAGAGCTTTAAATAGCTTCCGTAGCTTTTCTTTCTTTTTCATCATTTCAAATATTATATGATGACCATCATTTTCGGATTCTAACTCTCTCAGTAATTCCTCGACAAACGTCAGGTGGTTTACTCTTGCTTCTTTGCTCATTTCCTCAAATTTCTCGAAGATCACCTCGCAGTAGACGTCAACGTTTTCTTTTGAGTGGYACTGAATGAATTCATATACCTTGTCTAGAGTCTCATTTTCTTTGAGGAAAACAATCCCTGCTTTTTCTTCCCAGATATCCATGTCGTCTTTTGGAATTCTTGGCGAGAGGACGAAAGCCTTTTTCCCACTGATATTGGTGATGTCATCATGAATGGTTACGTATAGTGGCAACTTTCTTAGACTTTCGACACACATCGAGTCCATTGGGGATAGGGATGGGGATAGGGATAGTTGATCACTAAAGTAACTCAAAACTTTGCTGCAATCATTATCCTGCAAATTTTTAAATGCCTGAGAATCAGTTTTAAACTTGTGTAAAAGAGCTGATAAAACTGACTTTGGGTCGTCTAGGTCTGCCACAATTCTTATTGCTGTCATGATGCTTTCTTCCTCGATTACCTCATGGTGTAATTCTGGTATAGAGACCTTCCTGAGGGATTCTTTAAGCGACGGATACCCTGAACCTTCGAGATAAATCACAGTTTCAGCCAATTTCAAAGGCGCCAAAACGTGTCGAAAATGAAAGGATTCTTTATGTGGAACAGGCAAAACTGCTGGTAAAAGGCACCAATCCTTGACTGGTTCTAAGACTTCTTGCGCGAGACGTTTCTTTGCGTCTGGTACATGATCTTGGCGTTGATTCCATTCCATTCTTGCTTCCTGCAGAGTGTTACGAAAAACGCCCCTTTTGTTATTTTCATTATCTTTGATTTTTTTCTCGATATGGGCTGAAAAGAACTTCCAGGTATGATTGACCCATTTTCTGTTTGGAATTATCTTGTCCTCTGGAACCCAGGTAGCATAGCTCTCTTCGGTAGTGTACCGGCTTTTTCCCACTTCGTTTGGTAGTTGACTTGCCAAGGAAGCTACATCAAATCGTTTAAAAACCGGAGAAGGAAGATGTTCAGCTTCATCATTAAAGTGAAAGACAGAATTTAAGAGCTTGTGATKTACAAACATCGATTGGCAATGGGGAAGTACTTTGTAGTATTTACTCAGGAAGACTTTTTCTGATTGGCTGTAGACCCGAAGGACGTTGTCTTCGGTAAGTAACAATGGCAGACCTTCTAGTCTTTGTAAAAAGGTTTTKTCTTGTTTACAATACTTGAGAACTGAAAGCAAGTCAATGTTGCTCTTGAACCGGGTATCTTTAATATGCAAAGGCAGACTTCCGACGTTACACAACTGGTTTGAGGTTCTATAACTTTGAAAGAAACTAATAACCTCAAACGGTGAGACAAGATTTACATCCACATTGGAATTCTTGAAACACTTGTATACTCTCATTGGCACACAAAGAAGGTTGAGGCCCACAGCAAGAAGAGTGTCCCTCAAATCTTCTTCCTTCCGCAGTTCTTCGGCTTTTCTTTTGCTCCCAATGTCTTCGCTTGCGTCTTGTGAGGCTTCTGCAARATTATCGAAAAAGGCTTTAGTACGGCCTTTTCCTGTTGGGGGCAGCCACTCGACCACGTWTCTTTTTGGTTTTTTCCCTTTGTTTTCTTGACGAAGAGCTGGTAGTAGAGGTAGGGCTTTTACATTCATATGGCGGTAGACTTCCTTACAGAGCACTGTCCAGTAACTTTCCTGAGCTCTCACGTTTATAGGAAACAGRTCTAAATAGTTAGAAAGAACACTTTCTCCTTTGTCTTTGTCACCTTTTATGTACGTCTTTCCATCATCTTCTCTCGACAAAGAAATATRCTGCCTCACCTCATCTAGTAAGGTTACATAGCATGGCGCAACCACTTGTCGTATTAATGCATCATTCCAGTTACTCCTGTAGTCTCCYTTATCATCTCGCCASAGGCTTCTACGATCCTCGTGGTTTAGAGCAAAATGTCCATTAATATGAACTGGAAGACCGGTYTTGAAAGGAAGGGGAAGAAAACAAAAGGCTTTTCCCTGAGTATCTTGGTGACCCCCCGAAGAACTGATCAACGATGCCACTCCACCACGTGGTAACAGACCAAGATCTCCTCTTTCAAATGCTTCTTGAATGTTGCCTGGGATTTTATCTTCGTGTTCAAAGCCAATCTTCTGAACAACAAACCATTTCTGTCTTAAACCTTTGCTGTCTTCCAGCTTAACAACATAGGATACTTGAYGCACAGGAATCTCTGCAACAGACATTTCTCCACTCTGTAAACGTTTTCCAATTTCACTGACACGAGCAGCAAAATCTTTTCGCTTCTTTTCATCGCCTGAAGTCAACGACGACTGGACACGGTAGGACTCATTCAGCTTTCCAGTTTTCTTGTCAATTTTACAAATGGAAATCTCCTTGACGTTGTTAACAAATAGGAGAACCTGAAGAAGCTCTTCCTYGAAATCATTCAACAGATAGTCCAACTTTTGGACTGTCATCGCCTTGCTACTTATCTTGGACGTGGTAGCCATGTCTTCATTTCGGAGCGGGAACCGAAACATTGTGGCATTAGTTAGTGGATGGTATTGRTCAAGATCGTAGCATGGAAATACATCAGGAAAGGTTTTTCTCAGTGAATGAAGTTTTTTATACATGACTCCCGGGTTTGACTCATTTGCACCAGGGGCGAACTTCAGATTSGGGTCAAACACGCACATTACTTCCCCAATCTCGTCTCCTTGGGAAATAAATGTTGGCGCGTCGGTCAGATGATACACTGCATTGAAYCCCACACCATACTGACCRGTTTTGTTTGGATCATCTCCTTTAYTCCCTTCGCCAAGGTTTTGTATTCCCTCGATGTCACTCTTTGTGAATGGTGCGTTGTTGTAAACGCACAAMGCAGGCCCTTGGAGGGGCTTCCAGCACTCTTCAAAGACTCTCTTATCTCGATGTTTACGAGGATCCTTAATGAAACAGACTTTTGTTGCTTTTGCATCGTCTGCGTTTTGGATAAGTTCCTTCAAGAKTGATTCGTCGCATGGATATCCCTTAAGTATCCGCTTAAGCCTATTGGTAAGCTTCTCTTTCTGTCCAAATGGAATGCCAAATGTGTGCTTRCTRAGTGTTTCCTGTCTTCTCGTCTTCGCTCCAAGTGTGATGCAGATATTAAAGGGTATACCTTTATTTGCGTAAACGACTCCTTTCTCATCGGGCATCCAAGAGCAGTCCTTCACACACACATCTGTTGATGGTTTCATCAACCCCTTCGAATCAGGGAGGAAAATAGTTCCATACTTMTTTACCGCTTCGACTACTGTGACCTTCTCCTCTTCCATGGCGTCTGCWAGCAAATTTAATATATCTGTCACTTGTTTAAATTCCTTTGTAATTGGGTTCTTTCCATACTTGCGCTTTATTTCACTTAGCGTGTTGATATAATCACGCACCCCAAAGGATTCTCGAACACCAAGAGCCTTAACTAACTGGCAAAACTTTTGGCTGTAGTAACCCGGAAGTTGACACAAGTATGGCGGGTAGYTGACTTGGGACGAAAAGGCCAATTGGTTGGTAGAAAGAAGACTATTCTGTACAACAATGAACTTCAATGATGGCGAGAGCATCTGTTTGATCTCCTCTCTTTCATCTCTTAGTCTTCCCTGAAAGTAAGAATACACTTTCTCGAAAGCTTTTTTAGTTTCAAGATTATCCATGTTTTYGTTTTTCTGGAAAACGTCAATGATGTTTTCAAGATGGATTTTCACGTCCTGAAGACTTGGTTGCTTATCCCATCCAAATCGAGCAGAAACTCCTGAAAACTCTCGTGTGTCAACCAGGAATTTGATGCTTCCAACAAGGTTGATAAAATCGTGCGATGTCACCTCTTTCGGGCAGGCAAAATATMTATTTTTGTTATTTTTCAAGGGGAAATTGGTGGGATAGGCTTCTGGCCTCTTCATTAAAACGGGAATCCAAGGAATGTCATCTAAGCAATTCTTCAATGGAACAAGTTCCACCTTTTCTTCTAGCAGGGAAGGATACTGTTCCAAGAGTTTAAGGATGGCAGTGGATTTTATTTTCGCTTCGTCAAYGTTTTTCTTCTGGTTTACAAGTTTAGCACACTTGCAAATATCAGAAGCAGTTACACCWTCTTTTCCTTTCAGGCCCAACTTCCTCAAATGTATCAGAACATCTGGTCGAGCGTAGTATCCCTTCTCTGGAAATACCCGTTCATCTAAAAAGACCTTGCTCAGGATTTTGACATTTGGATCRAAGAGTTCTTCAGGTCTCTTTCTCGTTTGGTTTTCACACGCCACAAATGGTAGTCGTTTCAGCTTCTTTATRAGACACGCTGCGTCTTGCTCACTAAACATGCCAATGCGTTTGAAGATGAATTGCACTATTTCATCGAGCTCTTCATAAGAGTACTTATCATTAAGTGCATCGTCTAGCATCATATCCAAGAGATCCCTTTTCTGCATGGGTAAAGTACCGAGTAAACTTGAAAGACGACTACTGTGGGGCTTCCTCAAGTCAATTAAGTCATTGAACACCTTCACACGAGGCAGTTCATCATCAGTCGGAGCAGCGTTCTTTACCTCTTCCAGTGAAACAAAACGAGATTGATTTTCGCTACAGCCGACCCATGTTTCAAACAATGGTAGTTCTCGAAGAAGATCCTTCATGTCGGCGTCCACGTGTGATATGTTTGACAGGAATTTTCGAAAACTCCTAATATGCTTACAGTGAAGCTTCTTCGACTTTTCTATTAGCTTTTCCTTGTTCTTAGGCTTTTTGATGAAAACACACATAGCACTTAGAACCCCCCTTGGACTTGCCGGCTTAGCGAAGGTAGGAACTAATCCAGGATAGTACCGTATGTACTCTGGAAGATATTTCAAGATTGTTAAGCCAAGATCCTCCAAGACGTGACATACTGACTCGTCAATACTTTCATCGTTGAATGAAGCAAGAACAAGACTGGATGGTCGCTGAATTCTAGCAAGATGTACCTCGCTCTGATTTGACAACGGGGTCACAGGAACAAGAGGAAGCCCGATAAATGGCTCTAAATCAACGTCGAGTGCGCAAAATGTCTACCAAAATACTCCCACAAGGTCTTCAACCATTCAATTGTTGGTTGGTTGGATCTTTCAGGAGGCAGTGTTTGGCGGAGATGTTGTTTAACAGCTTCTTTGTTGAAGTGACGTAACTGTGTATGGCCTGCAAAGAAAAATATATTAAGAGTCCTCTTAATGTTAGGAAAAAACTATTGAAACTAATGGATTGAAGGCATTTAACCCCGTGAAATAAAAAATACTAGTCAACACTGAAGCAATAGTCAAATAGACACAAAAGAAAACAATAAAAATTAGGGTCTACCGATGTGTATTAGTCTTAAAATGGAAAGATTATTCATCGTGGATATATAAAAACGACGTTTCGACTGCTACTGCTAGTCTTCAACAGGCGATGGTGTAAACTCAAGTATTAGTCTTGTATTAGTCTAACATCTATTGCACGGGTTTAGTGACTTCACTCTACCTTATAAATAGGAATTGATACATGTACAATGACTTTGATAATCATTATATATAATTTCACAATTTCATTAATTACCTTGATCGACTGCGTTTTTCAATTGGTCTATTACAGTGTCATCCAAGTCTGTATCCAAGAACCTTCCCTGTAACCCTGGCAACAGTGACTTTGGGTGTTCAGCGGAATCAATGTAAATGGGAAAATCCCCTCGTCCTCTGAATGTAGCGAATGTCTTGTTAGATAAGGGTAGCAATTCGAGACCTTCAAGTTCTGTGAAGTTAGAATCACTGAGAACAAACTTCAAAAGTAGGATCTTGTCCTGGTGGCTCAAACAGGAGTAGCAAGATGGATATGCCTTTAAACTCTCTCTCAATATCTTTGGGGTGACATGATTTATAGTGCGGAATTCCTGCAAGGCTTTTTTCACATGTGCTGGAGCTGTGACAACCTTTTGGCCCGTTCTGTTAAGCAGGTCAATCACTATTCGCCTCATGGACTGATCACTTTTCTCTAGACTGTCAAGGAGAACCTCTTCCACTTTGCACCAGCCTCCGCCATTAGCATCCGTGTGCAGTACTTTAGATTGCAACAGTTTATCAAATAATGGCTGCAGAATGCTCTTCCATTTTACATCAACTTTGTTTACGTCTGGCCATGCACTGTACGCATCACTTGTGGCCAACCTTTGTCGTGGTTTTTTTTCTGACAAACATGAAATGACATGGAGAATAAGCTCAACGTAGGCCTTGGGCAGCACCTCCTGCAACAACCCTTTGTTCCACAGCAATGACTTGTCTGTCAAGGGTTGGATTGTTTCATCTTGATCAGCACTTGGCCATTTCAGATGACGACGGTTCTGACTCAAGGCAAAGAAACCATTAACATGAACAGGCAGACCTGTCAGGCTTTTGCTTTCTAGCGGCAAAGGTAAGAAGCAGAAAAGATGGCCCTGTGGCTCATTTGCACTTGTTTTCATCCTCTTCCTTTTATTCCCGCCATTTTTTTCCCTTCTCTTCTTTCTGCTTCCTCTACTCTTTACCATTTCATACTCATCGTCATCATCATCAACATCTTCCTCTCTACAGTCTTCCTGCTTCATTTTCTGCTGGAGAGGTAAAGCGACACCAACCAATGGCAAGTAGCTGAGCGATTCATCTGTCATCAAAGCTTTTATCTCTTGAGTCACACCAGATCCACTAAAAAACATTGTAACGACAAAGGAGTGCTCTGCCTTATTGCTTTCTCCATTGTTGTAGCGCACTGTTTCAATGGTAAGAGTGTAGGTCTTTTTCACTTCAGGAAAATAACCACCTGAAAGAGCCGAGACATTTTCTTGTACTTTGGTACTGAATTCTTTTCTCGCTTTCCTGACTTCTGCCAAGCAATCGTTTGAGATTCCAACGTGGAATAGTTTTCTAGGTTGTGAAGAGTGTGCTTCTCTCTCATAAATTTCGATCTGTTCAAGATTCATCAAGAAAAGTAGAATCAAATGAGCATCTTTTTCAAAGCMCTCGAACAATCCTGTCATCCTTTCTCGTGAATAAATGGTATCTGACAACTTGGAAGCTTTTTGTCTTAAAGGCAAACGAAAGAGTGTCCCTTCATAGCTACCTCGCTTAAAGGAGTCATCAGTGCAGCCAAGAACTCCCTTGTAARKAGCAAACTGATCGGAGGTGTTCTGCATAGTTCCTCGGTCTTTTCTCAAGTGCCATTTTCGACCTGATCTTCTTTTACCATCGCTATCTCTGAAGTATTTCTCCTCGGGATCAATTATTCCTACACTATCACCACTGATAACACTTGGAAGGTCTGAAATGAAACAGTTAAAGTGAACGGACTTTTAGTATAGGCTTAATGACTTCCCATTTGAGGCTATGCGTCATTCCTTTGAGTATATTATGGATATAACTCAAACAAATAAATATAGTATATGTAAGTATTTTCCACTGTGGTCAGTGTGACGGGTGCCAGGGGGTAGACTCTGGCATGGTTGCCATGGTTACCTTCATGAGGGATTCGGGCTAGCGAGGTCAGTCCTTTTTGTTGGCTCCAATCCCAAGCTTATCTATTGGTGATGAGTTTTAATCTCAATAAATCCATCTCAGGAATGTATAATTATGTACATCTTTACTGATTTAACACATTTGATCAGCAATAATTTGCTAGCTAGTGTGCAATTGATCCGCAATGATCAGCAAAGAGGGGAAATTAATCAAGCGGCAATCACATTTCAAGCCCCTGAGACCACTCAGATGCCCCCCAACCAGCTACCATGTGGGAGACCGCCGGCCAGCATTGTCTCAGTTTTAAACTTGCCTCATTAAAAAATGTCAAAACTATCAATTGGTGAATGTGGAATACAAACCTGTCATGTGGAATACAGATTTAAACCCAAGACCAAACCGTCCAACTTTCGTTGGGTCCTTTTCCTTGATGCTGTCACACAACATACCAATGCCGTCCCAGTCTTTATCAGTAAACTTGGCATTGTTATAGGCATATAATGCTGGACCCTGCATTAAATGGACATAATATAATTATTAAAAAAAACAAACAAACCAATAAATGAATAATCAAAAAAAAAAAAACTAACTAGCAAGCAAGCAAGCATGCATGCAAGAAAGCAAGCATGCATGCAAGAAAGCAAGCAAGCATGCATGCATGAAAACAAACAAACAAGAAAACAAGCAAACAAACAAACAAATAAACTCTAACATACACCATCATGGATGCAAAAGCAAACCCAAATTCCCCATAGCTAGCCCATAAATAAGCATGGGGTCTCTCAAAAATTCAACTTGACTGTAGTCAGTGGCTAGCAAGGGGGGGGGGGGGGGGGGGGTCATCACCCTCCTAAAATTTTCATCTTGAGCCTTTTGTTTGATGGATGATGTCAATGCCACTAGCGTAGGGAGGAGGTAAGGGGAGCATGCCCCCCAACCCCCCCACAAATATTTGCTTTCTGCACCAAAGTTTAATTCATTCATGCAAGATTCCTTTAGATTTGGCAGTAAAATGGGACATGCCCCCCCCCCCCCCCCCCCCCCCCCCACCCCCCCCCCCCCCCCATAAGCAAAACCTAGCCAGGCCCTGACTATAATTGTAAATACAGCTTACCTGGAACTTATCCAGTTTACGGTGCCAAAGGTATTTGGTCCGATGTGAATGATGGTCATATAAAAATTTCACTTTTTTTGCTCTAGCRTCCTCAGCATTTTGAATCAGTTCCTATCAAACAAGTTAAAAATATGGGACATTTTTAGTTTTTGAAATACTATTTCGAGGTTTCATTTCAATTGTTTAGAAAAATACATTCTATGGAGCTAAGCCCCATGTTTCTGTACAATTTCTCTCTTGCTCTTCAGTCTGTTCCCAGCATGTTTATATCAGAGTATAAAGACATGGGCTTGCTTTATATTTGTAAGAAATGCTACTATATAGTGTTGTACAATAAATTTGAGTGGCATATCATGAAAMATATCCCATGAAACTATATATATAATGATTTTATCTGAGGAGAATACTGCAAAAAAAATGTATAATGACTTTCCTGCACTCTGATTGGCTGTGCTTTCAATGTTTGGGATATATGTATATTTAAATATGAATATGGGTGATATTCACCTTGCTACTTGCATGAAGACTAGCGGCTCCGTAAATATTCCCCGATATTTACTTTGCCTTCAGCCAATAATTATTTCGAATAATTTTGTAAAATACATTGACAAGACAAAATCGAAGGAAGATTACCTTGAGTATTTGACCATCATCAGGGTATTGGTCAAGAATTTTTTTGATCTGTTGGATAAGAGATGGTTGAACTAGGCCAAAACTTTTACCTAATAAACAAAGAGTCAGTTTATACACTGCTGTAGATTTTCTTGATTTCTTTATGTTATTTCCTATTATGTAGTGTTCATCAGCTGAATCAGTGTATCATGCAATATGGATAATGAAATTCCAAGATTCATATATCAGGTGATTCCTATATGACTACAAAACAATGGTTTTGCTTTCAATGAGATTGAACTTGATTCTTTTATATTTCATACAACCTCAACTTGAAACCATTTTGTATTCGGGAAAGAAGGTCTATTATTTGTCAAAACTTTTTCAAGGAATAAAAGTTAACAAGAAACTATGATTTTACATTTGAAAAATCTTCCTTGCCTCGAGAAATTGCGTATTCTTTGACTCGACAATGGGGTGAAATTTCACTCGTATTTACTCATTATTGTCATATTGACTATAAATTTATAAATCAATTCAAGTCTTGCCAAGACACGAATTTTTAAAAAATGTAAAACTTCTTAGTATACAAATATTCATGTTCGATTGATTTCCTATATTCTGTTTTCCAAGAAACCATAAAGCTTACGTTGCACAAAAAAAATGTCTTCCGCTACAATAAATTTTCCATACGCTTTTTTTGATAAATATAACTTTTAAACTTACTCATTCTAGATGCCACTAGTTGAAATAGGCCTACATGTCATATTTTTGATATGTTTTGCTTTGTATTCTGGCATATTATCCTGTATTCTCATTGTCCTACTGTACATACTCTGTAGACGTCCCAAGAGTGGAGGAACGAAACTCAATAGAAACCTCTGTTCGTTTCAGCGTATTCTTGAGTTATAGGGTAACAGAACTGTCACTTCGTGGCTTCTTATCGACTGATCATAAGCCAGCTGTAGTCTTTATAACTCCAGTGTATTGAAAATACTCGAAAATAGTGTACGTCCGCCGATTCTGATGTTCATGTACTCAATTGACCCGCCCAGTTCCATCCATGAAGTCCCACTAACTTCCGCATGCATTGCTTTGACCCTTACACGTAAGACACTGTGGAGGACTGGGGTCGTCATTTTCACATTCATTTGCAAGTTTATTTCCCACGTTCTGAACATCGCGACGTTTTGTGTTACAGAAAATGTATTGACTTTCTTATAAATCTTTACTGGTAACATATTATAATTAAGATGAATTTGCAACGCGCGGTTTTTCCGCTGGTTTACCCTCGATGTGTTATGGGGAATTTGAAAATGAGTGTTATACCTTCAACCACACAACCAATACCGTGAGTTACCAGAAAAAAACGAATTTTTAGTGACCTTCTCCACTAACAATCTCTTAAAATTTCTATGATACAGTATAAAACCCCAACATAAGGGACAGGTCATTATTTACAGGTAGGGGCTGGTGGAAATGTGGAGGGAGGGGGGGGGGGGGGTCCAAACATTTTTGTGCACTAAGAAAGGGGGGATAAAAATATTGTGTAATAGATACTTGCAACCTTTTTTGTTAGACACTTGTCAATTAATTTTTTTATTGGGAAGGTAGAGGGATCACTAAAATATGAAGGGGAGACGGAAATAAATTGAGCATCACATTTCAGATTTCCACCAGCACCCCCCACCCCTCCCCCCTCCTCCTTAACTAATGACCGGTCCCTAAGGATGACAGGAAAATCTTCCTGTATGTATCAGTTAATATTTCGCTAACGTTACGTCGTGTTGTTATAGCTGAACATGCTTGCTTAGTCATCAGTGACACGATTGACGTCATCAATGATACAATTGACGTCATCAATAACAAGGTTGACGATGCGCTGTAGCAGCCGCTTAGGCTCCTATGAAGACGTCCTAAGTTTCTGTTGAGGACAGACCCTAAGAACGTCTGCGTAGAGCTAGAGCCCTTGTTCAAAATCAAAATCTCCGAAATAGCAGTAAAAGGTTCGCGCTACCATACGACGCCGCTTCACAACTTGATTTTTACAGTACGACTACGTTAACCAAGGCTAAAATTGATCAATGGATGATAATAATACCCCAACACCCTAATAATAAAAGAAGATGTTCAATCAAGATCTTTTTCTTAAATTTGATTGCGTTCAAAGTTCTACTTGGGAAAAAATCTTTCATTGCCAGATTCCCCGCACCTCATCGCACCCTTGCGCACAAGCAGCTCTAGAAAGTTCCTTGTTCATCTTACAAAACTAAATACCTTGCTTCGATAAACGAATTCATTTACACTGGATTCAACGAATTTCGTTGTCATTTCCTTCTATGATTTAAAAAATATACCTGCCAAAAAGCAAAGCTATATAAAACAATTTAGTTAGCTAGCTAAAGAGCTAAACCAAAAGCACTATAATATATCTACAAGTTGGTTGGTGAAGTTTTGGGTTGTATAAAGCCAGAATATATTATAATATATATTCTGGCTTTATGTATATTATATATATACACTCAATTGAAGAATGGTTGTCGGGTTCAGAAACATAGAACATAGAAGCTGAGACCGAAATGGCACATGGGAAGTACGTTAATTAGATGAAATGCTTTGACGGGCAGCCCGTGGCATCATCCACTCTCAAACGCAGGTCTTCTGAATACGCGTTTGACATTCTAAACCGACTTCATGGATAAAGCAAATGAATAAATTATAATATAATTATGTCATTTTCCATGTGCCATTTTAGTCTCAGCTTTTATGTTCTATGTTTCTGAACCCGACAACGATTCTTCAATTGAGTGTAGATATATATAACATATATATAACAAAAATTCATTGCACTCGGATCATCCCGATCAGGCTTTGAGCAACTGGGCTGCCTGTGTGCCTGCACTGAACTCAGATGCCGATATTCGCTACAGCAAAGGCATTCCTCCCTCCAGGAATCGTTGTAAAGGGCTGCCATCTTTTGTCCTCAAAGTCATATTCATACGCATTTTCATTGAGTCCATCAGCTCCAAAGACAACCAACTTAGAATCAATAATCAAGGATCGACAAAGCGAACTTGATTTAGGGAGGGGTGCCATTTTGGACCACTGTCTTGTCTTTTCATCAAACACCTCGACTTCTTTGACATCCTCTCCAATTTCATTGCAACCTCCAACGACAATGAAGAAACCATCTTTCTGCACAGCTGAGCAGCCGTAACGCTTGTGTTTCATCGGAGGTAATTTAGACCATTTGCCTTCGTCCCCGTCGAACATTTCAACGGAGTTTATCGCGCTGTTGAAATAAAATCCCGTGCCGCCACCCGCCACGATCACCTTGTGACCCAACAAGGCACCAGCAAAATTACACCGGGGTGTTAACATCGAAGACAGACGGTACCATTCTCGTCGCTTGATGCTGAACAGCTCTGTGCTTCGTAACACACTGCCCTGGTCGCATCCTCCAGCGACAAATACCCCGTGATCCGTCCCCAAGACAAGACTACCCCAGCGTCTTTTCCTCATATGCTGTATCACATTCCATTTCTTGGTTACAAAGTCGTATATCTGTACGGTATTTAGAGCCTTCCATCCCCCGTAGCCTCCGACTACTACGATAGCAGGTATACCGGTCACCGTAGCGGCACTACAAGCCGTCGTTTGCACCGGTAGTGGTGCAATTTTCAGCCACTTTTTCTCAAAACAATCGTAAGCTTGGACAGTGGCAAGTGGATCTCCATTACCCTCGTCGGATCCACCGATAACGAAGACAAAGTTGTGAACTTCGACAATATCGTAACCTTGTTCATAGTCTTCAGCATCGGAGCTGTTACTGAACTCAAGGTCTTCACGCTCATCAACTCTACTCGAGAATCTCGTCTCAAACTTTTCCTTTACATCACCGGGAAATGCCTTCACTGACTTCAAAACTACGAGAATTTTATCTTGTAAGGCGTGAAGTTTCTTTACATCTGATTTAGGATTTTCTAGTTCTTCTTCTCGTTTTCTTATTGCCGGGTCTTCTAGATCAATGTCTGAATAACTCCGTTTATTCCAATGAATCTTGGTTTCATGTGGAGCGTGGCCAAGCTTTCGTTCGATTTTTTCTCTGATGTCGTCTGGCAACGAACAGAAGTTTGTCAGCCATATTTTTGCATCTCGTAACACTRATGTCCCCATGTTTATCGAGGCATCTGTAGATATCGCTTACACATGAAATTATGTAAGAGTTTAGAATGAGTTTATAATAAGCTTGTGTAGTTCAAATCTTATGTGGTTTTTCCAACTATCTCGGTAGATGTTTCTAGATAGAAAAACAAATTAGAAATAAGAATATGTCGCTCAAGTATAATAACAAGTGCAATAACAAACGTAAATTGGAAAACTAAAAAGCTTCTAGTAAACACTATTTTTCTACATGATTAGTCATGTAGCAAGTGAAAAATACAATAGAAATTCTAATTTATGTGAGCTTTTGTAACAAGATAGCGAAAAATCATTCAATTTGCATAGAATTAGCGCGTTTGTTTGCTAAATATAATTTGTGAATTATTTTTTTAATTTGAAAAATAAAATGAGAGGCAATATAAAGAGCGAATTTTACTGTGAAAATGAAGCAAAACAGAAAGGAAGTGAAACGACTGTAATAATGAATTAAAACAAGGCAAGGTATTATAAGTACAAGAAATATCCGAGAAGGCAAAAAAAAAAAAAGACATTCAACATTATGAATAATTTAAACTGTGTATTTTCTAAGTTTTTACCTTACACTTTTTACCAACAATGCTGGAACTTTTAAGGCAGTTTTTAAAGCGTTTTGAATCTGTAGGAAATGACTTTTCTTCGCGGTTTATTTGAAACATAATATAAGAAAATGAACGCTATCCGAGGATAACTTATTTACCAAGCAATGAATTAATATCTTAGTTTTAAATTTGATTGCATGTGCTGAAAATACGGCTCCAAAAGCTTGAAAAGACATTTTGAAAGTAAATCTGGCAATAATAACTAGTGCTATCTCTATTAATCGTACTTACCTAAAACAAATGCCAGTAAATGTGCTCAAACTTGATGTACGCATAAAACACAGCTCTTCCCAGATGAGTTAACAAAGTCACATGACTGATTATATCCGTACAAAATATTTAAAAATATTCAAAATAGTTCTGTGTTCAGCCTGTTGCGTAGAAACGAGAGATAATTTTTATTTTATTTTTAATTTAAATTATTTTAGCTTAAATATAACTCCTAAATTTTTGAGTTATTGTCGTTTTACGTTATTTTTTGAAGGAATGTTTAAGTGCTCGGATGTGTGAATGTTGTTGATTATTTATGTGTTATCAGCGAAGCTGACCAAGTTACTATTAATATCTCTCTTTTTTTTCGCATTTTGCATATTATATTTTGACATCTTGGGACAAACTGCTCACTTCATGTTTTAGCCACTGCAAATTTTTTTGAACTTTTCATCCCAACCCCCCTCCACCGGGGAGCACACGCGTTTTGGCGCGAAAATTCCCGCCAAATCTACAGGTGCCCCCCAACAAAATATAATGGAAAAATTAAAATTTACGATTTTTGACAAAAGTTTTGGTGCGGTGATTGACACACTCAAAAACAGAAACGAAAACAAACAAACAAACAAAAAAGACAAAAAGAATCAACCAAAAAGAATAAGAAAATGACTTTTAGTATATCAGTTTATTTATACTTTTACTCATTGCATCACTACACTGCAATCAATTGTCTTCCAAAATTATTCCTTATTAGTTCTATTACGTCTATTAATATGGCCCACTGAGTATGGAGTATTTTACTTGTGGTTGGTTTGGTCTAGTTGCGCAGGATGGTTTCGTACATTTCCTGGACACATGGTACCACATCCTTAGCACGGGTTTTGAGCGACAACTGGTAAAAAATGGTAGATGTAACATAAATAATAGCATTCACGTAAAAGGCACTAGTTTTAGACGCGAGAAAAAAACGGCCATACTCGAAATTGGCGGGAAAATGGACGACGCGTCTTCAGTTGATATTTGGCTAAGATGATAAGTAAGTGCGCTGTCAGTAAATGCAAGGAGTACGTAGTTAAAAGCGAAGGCAAAAACATGACCGCACTCTAGAAATCTGCGGGAACACTGAATGGAGGACGCGTCTTTTATATTTTTCAAGTAACAAGTGTAGATAAAATGGTAAGTAAATACGCTGCCATTAAAGCAAGGAGTCCAGAATTTGATACTCAGTGATGTTTATAAGAAGTAAAAAGATTTTAAGGAGTAAAATCCCCATTTCAAGGAGTATCACAAATATTTGAGGCAGTTATATGTTGCCGATATTTTGTTCGTTTTTCTTAGTAGTGGCTAATCGAACTGACATTTTCTTTCTGGACTGCAAACGAATTCGCAATTACATTTCCATTGGAAACGGTTTCCAAGGAGTAATCAAGGATTTATAACAAATGATTCTTTTTTCCAAGGACTTTCAGGGTTGACATTAACCCTGCCGCAAGTTCCGGCTGCAACAATCTTAAACTGTGTCAAAGACACACACACACACAMAAAAAACACTGGTAGCACATATCGGAGATCCAGACTTTGGCTGTATACGGTAACGGTACGGTAAAGTTACTGAAAAGACAGGTTTGAATGTAATCGTTCAAGGAATACCAGGGTTGTATCCTGTCTTACCTGAACCAATGGGTTCCCAGGAATCATCTTCAGTTCCCCCATGACCCAGATACCGTTAGTAAACTTCAGTGATTGGTAAAGCATGTCCTGGCCTTCTACAGTCCTCTTAGCGATGGTGAAGATGTTGTTGGATTCTAACTTCAGCTGCGCATTGTCTGCAATCACAACAACAAAATACTATTAGTTTCATTCATATGCGCTGATGAAGACGACAGAGTAGCGACAGATTAATCGGAATAGACTACCGTCAATAAAGTAAATAATCAAATACAGTCAACTCCCGCCTTGCTTATACACCTCGGTATTACGGACACCTTGCTACAGTATTACGTACAGGAGAAAAATCCCTGACAAAGCATACTGACAAAGAAATGACCGTAAATAATTTTCGCTATTGCGGACGCTCGCTATTACGGACATGAAGTGACGGTCCCGAGGGTGTCCGCGGTAACGTGAGTTTACTGTAAATCTTAGCCACTAGCAAATTTGGYCCATTTCCATGTAAAGTAAATTATTCGTAAACAGTGTGTACAGAGACTGCTATAGCAATGAAAAAGTGATGATGTCCTTGTGTCTTTTCTTTTTCCTCTTCCCTACTCTTTCATTCTTTCCTTGTCTTTACTTTAATTTTCCATTTTCCTTCAATATAGTTTTCTTCCCTTTCCTTCACATCCCTTTCCTTTCTTTTCCCTTTCTCTTCTTTTCACTTGTCTTCTGTTTCCATCTCTTACTTTTCATTTCTTTATATCTTCCCTTCTTTTCCCTTTCTCTTTTCTCTTCCATTCCCTTCTCTTTTCAACTCTTTTACCATTCCATTTCTTTCATATCTTTGCTGCCGCCCAAATCACGAATCGTAGTTAAACTACAAATAAATCTTAACTAAATATGAGCTGTTTTTTCCCGATAATCTAAACATTTAAACATAAAATAAACTTTGAAAAAATTTACCAGATGTAAGATTAGGAATCTGCATTTGGTTTTGCACCTCATTTGCTTGTGGGATGTCCTTCCACGTAGCCAAGAACACTTTACGGTCTACCAAAGACAAACAGTGAGATAAGAGAACAATTACTTCCATAGAAAAACGTCCATGTAACTGGTTGTCTGTCCGTGTCTGTCTATCTGTCCATGTCTCTGTTTGTCTGTCTTTACTGTGTGACTTACGTTTGTCATTCTGTCCATTTGACTCATTGACCGTCTGTCTGTCTATCTGTCCATGTGTCTATTTGTCGGTCTTTTCATGTTCTTGACCGTTTGTTATTCTGTCAGTGTGACTGATTGACTGTCTGTCTGTCTATCCATGTGTCCGTTTGTCTGTCTTTACTGTGAGACTTACTGTTTGTCATTCTGTCCGTGTGACTGTATAACTGACTGACTGACTGACTGTCTGTGTGTCTTACCCATATTGCCGTCCTCCATGAATAGTACATTGACTGGCACCATGGTACTAAAGTAGAACACATCAATATTGTTCTTTAACGCAATCTGGATGTTGGTCAGTGGATCCATGCGCTGAACACCACCCACTGCAAGTAACCAATCAAAACAGTTATCATTACTATCATTCTGGAAGTAAGTAGGCAGTAAGAAAATGTAAGAATGTTATAACCAAGGGAGGGCTTAGGAAATATCAAACAAACAAAACAATCAAAACAATAGAAGAAACTGGAAGTGTGAATCATAAAATGGATGGATGGGTGGGTGGATAGATGAGAGGATGGGTGGTTGAATGAATGGATGGATGGATGGCTGGGTTGATAAATGAATGGATGCTTAGATGAGAAAATGGATGGTTGGATGGGTGAATGGCTAGATTGATGGGTTGATGGCTGGATCGTTGGATGGATGGATGGGTAAGTAGATACATTGATGAGGTGGATGGGTGAATGGCTAGATTGATGGGTTGATGGCTGGATCGTTAGATGGATGGATAGGTAAGTAGATACATTGATGGGGTGGATGGGTGAATGGATAGATGGATGGTTGGTTGATGAATGGACGGACGGGAAATAAAAAAAAATAACTACAGTAATTGAAAATTAGTTAAATAATAAGACCAAGATTGCTTGGTACTGCTAAATACTGTAAATAACCAAATCATTTCTTAACTCACTTGTGTTGAGAGGGAGCGAGGTATTGGCCACCTGGTTGGGTGGAAGAGGTGACGGTACGTTGAGGGGTGCTGCAGGTGCAAGACCAAAACTACATGGAAAAATAAACAAGTACTTGTGAGTTGCACAAACCCTCAAGCACACGAATAATTCTCACAAACTTGTCTAACCTGTTTTTGTTTAGCTGGATGGCAAGACCTTCCATTGCCTGCATTGCTTTATTAATAATGGCCAAATCCATGTATATTTGACCTTGGCGACGTGAGAAGGTACCTAGATGACAATTACACCTGTTTCAGATAACTGTGATGGATACGACCCACTCTCTTACCACTATCTAAATAACAAAACTTAAGGTGTAGACATATGGTGCAATGTGTGCATGCGATGTTGCATGTGACATTGTACCGTGTGACACCCAAAAAAACCAGCAATGTTGCATCGTGTGTCTGCACCTTTAGCATTTTCATTTGAACCAAATCTTAGAAGATTTTTCTCAAAAAACATTAGCATATATTTTACAACCATCGCTCGACATAAGAGGCTTTTCTTTAAAGTTCACTCCACACATACTACCACTACGTTTACCATTATTTACCATTTATTCACCATTATTGCTGATTTTTACGGAGGGAGAAATACGGATTTTTCTATGGGTTTTCTGATTTATCTCCTTCCACAAAAACTAACATATGAGTTTAGAGTTGTGTGCTTAAAAATTTAAATGTAGTAGTGAGTGTAATAATAATATTTTATTTGCTAGAGCAGGCTTATTATTTTGGCAGCTTACGCTGATGTGGGCCAGCTTTCACTCACACTCACTACCAGTACATTTACTATCATATGCACACAATGCTAGACTCATATGTTGTTTTTTATGGAGAGAAGAAACTGGAGAACCCAGAGAAAAACCCTTGTGGCAAGAGAGAGAACCACACATCAAACAAACCTAATTCACATATGGCATCTGCAGGGCTCAAACCAGCTTCCTGGCCCAATATGTGGAGTGTGTTATATAACCTCTGGCTAGAGAGACTTAGAAACAACTCCCTTTATCATGACATTAAGAATTATTTATTTAGAATATGAAAAGGGGCACTTGTACAATGTRTACCTGCTACTTCAAGTCCTTTCCCTCTCGCAGCAGGAAGCCAGACCTGCGGCAAAACAAAATACAATTTCACTAAGTTATTAAATTATAATGGATGGATGGATTATAAGGGTGGCATTATTTATGTTTAAGGGAGGCTCTTATAAAACTAATTTTAGAAAAGGTCCTTACTAAACTAAAATCCAAATATCTTTGAAGATAGAGCAGCTTTCATAAGAGTGAGAAATAATGTCTGATAACTCTTAATATTATCCTTATCACAGATATTTTTCTGGAAAATTTCTATATGTTGCATAGTTCCAGAAATTATCTATACCCCGGCCCTTCAGAGAATTTTGAATTTCCAAGGGATGGGGGTTAGAGAAAGAACAAAGTTACAGAGTTTGTATAGGAGAAAATTGAAATTTTAGGGAAGCAAGGCGGGGGGGGGAGGGGGTCCTGAAAACATTTCTGTGGGGGGTATGGATAATTTCTGGAACTACACATTTTGAATGCTTACGCCTTTAGGTGCACTGTACATGGAGCCAGCCAATCCTGGGCCACTAGCCAAGCTGAACAAATCACCCAGACCCCCAGCAGCGGGTGGCTGCGCCATCTGCTGTTGAGGACCACCAAGCTGTGCAAAAAAAAAAAGACATACAACGAGTTAGCTGTACCCTGACTTTGCTAATCCCAGAGGTTGTTTCAGGGTACCGATCAAAGGCTAAACATTGTGCGTCTGCTGACACTTCTCCAGTGTAGGCTGCTCATGTTGTGATCATTACAAAAAAGGGTGTTAAAAGCTTACCTGAAGACCGCTTAGATCTTCTCCCAGTAAATCCATCACTCCTCCACCAGCTACAAACAATAAACAAACATACATAAGACAAATACTAAGGGTCTGTTTTAATGGAAATAGGGTTGCAGACCCTACTGCTAGAAGGGCTAACTCTTAAATCTTTATCATTCATTACAGTCATTCTCAGCATATATTGCGCATGGAATTGACAAAGTAGGTTTTGGTGAACACTGATCTAGACATTTCAATGACATAGTCCATAGACATGTGCTCTTGAAAACTTAGTTTTTTCTAGCAATGTCAATGAGAGAAACACTTTGATTGACATCCACCAAAACCTTATTTTATTGCGATGGCAAATTGTTTGATAGTGTGATGTGGAGTGAATTGCAAGGAAGACCCAATTCTCCAGGGTGTATTAGTTTGTTTCTAACCTGCAGGGGCAGAAGCAGGAGCAGGAGCAACTGGTGCTACGGCAGGTGCAGTAGGTCCAATATCCATCAACAAGTCACCTATCAGGCTATCTGCCGCTGGGGCAGGAGCAGGCTGTGCTACTTGTGCTGCTTCTTGGGCAACAGGAGCAGCTTCTGCTGTCTCAGCACCTGAAGATAAAAGAAAAAATCAATCATATTTAGCTATGTATAATAGTTATATGGTATGGTAAAAAAAAGAGATAACTAGCTTAAAACTAGTGTGAGCTGTGTCGATGTTTCTAATGAAACAGTAATGATAAAAAGGTAAATTATACACCGTGAAAAGATGAAAATACTGACGTTTTGGACACTAGTCCTCCGTCGGAGTAAAAGGATATGGTATGGTAATATACAAGAGTAATGTAAAATGTTTTAAGCTCTACCAGTGGTGGTTAACGCCCAACAGTGATGTAGATGTAGCAAGAGGGAGGGGGGTAGATACATGTGAACACCTCACAAAAGTTTTACTGAACCTGTGGATACTAAAGGTATATTAATGAATTTTACCAGGAGATGGTTCAGCACGGGGTGGGAGGGTAAACCTCCTAGCAGCTGTGCGTCCTTCTACGAATGAACTGGGAGGCTTGTGGTAGACTGATGCCAAGGTTGAGATGTTGCATATCAGTTCATCAAGTAATGTTGGCTCAAGAAGGTCAGTCTCTTCTGAGATCAATGGTTTCTCTGCCAGCACAACTTCCTAAAAGAATATGAAGAGATATATTGGGAAAGGATTCTAGATTATTGTCTGACACAATTTGGGAATAATAATAATAACAATTTTATTTATATAGCGCATTTTCCAATATGCCCAAATGCGCTTCTCATGGGATTTACACTCATGGGATTTACAATATATTCATAATAAAAAAATAAAAAAATAAAAAAAAAATATTCTATTTAACAACTATATATATTTACAATTCTAAATTACTAATATCTAAATAAGAAGCTAATGATCTAAAACTAATATTGATACTATATACTATGTATAAAAAGGATGCTTAAAACACTGTGAAAATACCTAATACCTAAATGCTAAATATGAAGGAGGAATTATTTTTTCTCCCTGATTCTTTACTCATGATGATGATGATGATACTCTGACTAGTGTATAAATAACAGTTCTACTCACCTTAGCAGCGACAGGGTCAGTAGACAGCAGTCTCCAGTAGATGTATCCTCTGTCTCTTAAATCAGGGTTATCAGAATCTTGGGTAGCAAGACTCAAAACCTGTTGGACTAGTTCTTGGGTGTCTGTGGGTCTCTTCAAGAACAGTTTGACGATGGCTGTCAGCAGCTGAAGTTGAACCTGAAATGAACAAAAGAATTAAAAGTGTTAGAGTGCTTTGATGTCCCAGCCACCATGGCATGCCGTCTCACAATTTGACTCCAATCAATCCTTGAAATGTATACAGGTCTGAGTTAACAAGCTTTTAATTGACAGAAGCAACAACACTTTTCTGCAGTAATGCACCCTTCTTTATATTTAGGTTCTTAGAAAACACTTTACTTTCAGTTTCTTTCCACCCAGGTAAATACATGATTAGGCCAAACAAAAAAATAAGTGTGTTTCCTGTTGCACGACCGACCCTAATTTTCTTACCGATTTTTGCCAACCCTAATATTTTTTCATTCCCAAATGCACCAAAGGCTTCCCAGTACGCTCATTCCCAATGTTGTATCAGCAAAAAATATCTGACCTACCAACCCCAATTATTTTTTGTTTGGCCTTACCAGCAAACTGTTTGGGTTACATGCTGGCTGAGAAGTGCCCCAAGATGGACACCAGCATTCCATACAGAGGATGGTGGGTGTTCAGTATTGTCCTGAGGGTATGTGTGGAGTGGTGTTTGTAGGCAAAGCCAGAAAATAATTGAGCATAGAAAACCTTGGGACTTACTTGGGTATTTTCATCTTGGAATCCTTCCAAGAATGATTCAAGTAGTTCAGCAGCATTGTCAATACGTTCTGCATATTCTCCAATGATCCAGATCATGGATGCCCTGGAATAAGAAGAAAAAATAGTAAATCTTTAAGATGGTCTTATAATATACAGTCAGTAACCTGGGCCTGGTTGTATGAAGCCTGGGTAGCGCTATCCGATGGATAAATCTTATCCAGTGGATTACTTTATTGTATAACAGCATCACTTTATCCACTGGATAAGGATTCATTCGTTGTATAGCGCTATTCACCTGTGGTAAGACCGGGCCCTGATTGTTTACTAGACCTTAGTTACTGTTTTTTTTCTATTTCAGATCATGTGCCATCCATTGAGTATTATTTTTTCTTCACCAGTAGTAATGCTTGAGAGGAATGAATCTCAAACAAAACATTTCTGTTTTCAAGGTAATGACATGTGATTTGAAATGGGAAACGTTGCGTCCAAGTAGATTGGCTTTAGGTCATTGGATTTAAGAAAACTATTACAGTAGCTCTCTTTAAACTAGTTCTATTAAATGAGACATCCCTGTATAAATATTGTTAAAATAAATAAATAAATAAAAACAGTTAATCCACATTTGTCCAGTTTTTTTCAAAGTCTTACCTTGCTTCAGGTTCATCAAGTGAGTCCAGATTTTCGCACAAAGTAGAGATGATACTCTCATATTTATTTGGATACTTCCTGAAGATATCCTGTCAAAATAACATTCATTCAAAATAAGAACCCTACCTTCTGATTGGCTGATTGTCAAGGTAAATAAAAGTATATACCACAATAGTATACCACTAGAAACCACCACCAATCTTAGTGTTATTTATGGTATAAAATATGAGTTCTAAATCCTGATTTGAGTTTGTTGGGATTACCTTGATGACCACAATAGCTTCTTGGACGACATAGTTGACTTTAGTCTGGATGAGATCTAGAAGAGTGCTAACACATCTCTCGGCAGATGGCTGTGAAACAAAGAAATAATATGAGATATTAAGTAAAATTTACAATTTATAATAAAATAATTTGGTAAAGGCTAAATTTATATAAAAAGATTCAATTACACATGACATATAAAATGATGAAATTTCTACATTTTTTACCTCAACTTTGATAGCACAGCGACCAATAGCACGCACAGATTTCCTCACAAAATCCACATCTACTTCTGTGGCATACCTGTTAACAGGAAAGAAATTCCACTCATGTTGAGCAAGAAAGAAAACTCTAGACTTTTTAGATCATTCAGATCATTACAGGACACAGTATAAAATTTCTGTTTATTTATTGTAGAGATATTTGAGCCATTCACAGTAGAGGGTTGGACTGTTAATAACTCACTCAGCAAGGTTATCATATATTTTTGAAAACCTCTTGTGAAGGTCTATCACATGAAGGCATTAAGGTTTTGTCCCTCAATTCGGTACCAAAATTTGTCCTGGCCCATAGACTATAAGGAGCTTGTGGGCTCAATCACAAACAGGACCAACATTCAGGGTATTAATATGTAACTGAGTAAAGGTTCAGAATGGTGGTCCTGTCTTTCCACACTTCATCATCACTATTGGAGGGACGTAAAAGGACCACTGAGGACATAAGGAAGCACTAGCAGTGACCACCTCTCTCATACTAACCACCTCTCGTGATTGTAAGAACCTTTGAGTATACACATAGAAATGTTGCTATATCAACCATAATTGTTTGTACAATGAATTTGAAGGATGGGGTTGCATACTCACTCCTTCAGTTCAGCAAGTACTTGTGCAATATTTGTTTCACTTGCCAGCCTGATCATGATGTCTAGTTTCTCAAGTTTGACGTAGATAGGATCATTGTACTTGACAAAGAACACTTTCATCTCATTCTTCAGGATCTCAGGCCTACACATTGTAAAGCACAACCATGATTAAATAAATGTAAAAAAATATTTGACTTTGACCACCGTGAGCCTTAGGTGTTGGGTAGCAGGTTTACTGTGGAAGCCACATGTGAATAGAGTCTGTTTGATGTAATTTTCTCTCACTTTCCATGAAAGGTCTCCCCCCCCCCCCCCCCTCCCCGAGGTAGTCTTTCTGTCTGATGGTGCTCTAGGAATGTAACTGAGGTACATGTAGTAGATTAAGGGACAGACCATTACAATGTTTGTAAAACCCCCCAAAAAAATTGAGCACAGCTTTAAAGAGTGAAAAACATCGTGTATAAGAAAAGTGCCAGAAATAATTCCAAATTATGTCCAAAAAAAAACCTGTACAGCCATGAGGCGTAAAAAAAAATTCCTGCACAAAATAACTTGCAGGGACACTACAATAGCTTTTGCCAATTACTGAAGGCCAGTGATATTTCTGTATTGTAATTACACAAGTTCCCCTTAAAAGTGACACTCCCTCACCTCTTCTGTACAATCAAGTTGATGTTCCTCAGGGCGACATACTGCACTTCCGCCTCACTGGACAGCAGAGTAACTATAACAGATACAGTATTTTGTTATTGAAAATCTGCTGATCCCCTATGCTTTATAACTGTATGAAGCACACATCACACAGGCACATTTTTTCATTTCTTCAATGGTGTTTAAGTTTCATTTTGACTTATATAACACACCAAAGCAGACAGAACTACACTGTAGTTTTATCCTTAGTTAATATCTGTCCAAACTCAGGGTACAGTGTACATGTAATAATAGTTAAAAACTGAAGCCTTTCAAGCACATACTGCTGAACATGCTTACCTAGGGGAGGGGCTAGTTTCTTTAACACATTCTGCACAAAACCAGAAGTTGGTGTCATCATTTCCATGTACTTCATCAAAACCTAAAAAAAACATAATCCAGTCTGTATTGATACATATTCCTTTAAAGTATTATGCAACTCTCAGCTCCATACTCCTTAATGGGCAACCCCTGAATTTTAATATAGTAATAGTGCATCCTACCCCTTAGGTTTCCAAAACTTTAGAATAAAATAATGAAAGCAAGTCCTATTACCTTGATAGCAGAGAGCACAACTGCAGCATTTGCGTGGGACAGCCTTGGAGTGACTCGCTCACAGATGCTGTTGGTAAAAAAGGAAATTGAGCAAAAAGAAATAGTTTGAGATGAGATGGTTTATGAAGCATAAATGGATGGGAGTAATATAACTTAGTTGAACACTTTGTGATAAAAAGGGAAATGGACATTAGTACTTTGTCAAATTAAACAACTAACATTTAAAACCTCAGGTAAGTATCAAAATGAAAAACCTGAAAAGGAAGCTTCTCCTGACAACAAAAATATGATCAACCAATACAAGAATGAGTTCATATATCTAAATAATAATTCCTAAGTCTTGAGTTAGTACTGTTCTTGTATTAGCAGGTTTCTGAACCATGAAACAAGAACAGGCTACTCACCTTTGTGCTTCTCTTTCATCTTTGGGAGTGTATTGGGCAAGAGAATCCAGAATAAAGATCTGACCCCACCTGCAAGGGAAGTAATGGAAATAACGAAAAGAATCAATGCTTGAATGAATCAATGATGGACTTGAGTGATAGATGCAACAGCTCTCAGACCTATTAACTAAAGATGACTAAGTGGCTGACTGTCTGTCTGCCCTGAATGACTGAAAAGTGACCGACAGTATGATAAAAAAACTACCTGACCGACCAATGCCTTCTATGATAGCTTACAGACTGCCTAGCTCAATAACAACATTGAATTTGGATAACATACATGTACTGATTTTCAATCCTGTCATCCGTGGACATGTATTTCAATAATCAAGAATGTGACAAACTGTCATTCTCATGACAAAATGCATAAGCACTCACTCTGTGCATTCATTCAATGCCGTCAGCAATTTGTTGATAGTCTGAGAGTTCATTTCCATCATTGCTGCTGCAGTGGGAGAAGAGTCGTTGATCTCTGACAAGGCAGCCACTGCATTGGCAACAACCTGCAAATCACAAAATGTTCCAGACTCTCTAAGTTGTTTAATATTATGTTAAGTGCAACCTCTACACTCTACATTGTCTAGTGTCTACACTGTAAAACAATTACAGGGAAGCACCATTGGTATAGCGGTAAGTTTGCTTGCCTCTCACCAGTGCAACCTGGTTTCAAGCCCTGTCAGGCTCCGTGTTGTATGTGAGTAGAGTTGTCTGTTGGTTCTCTCCTGTGCTTTGAGGGTTTTCCTCCAAGTTCTCTGGTTTTCCTCCCTCCTCAAAAATCAACTTCAAAATTATATTTTGATCTATCAAGCCCTGTAATTGGGTCCTAGACCTGTAAGGCTTTCCATCCACCTCAGAGTACTAAAGTTCTGTAAATTTTGTATAAATTTCAAATTTTAAATTCAAGCTCACCATAGGGTTGGCATCAGACAACAATTCCTTGAGCGAGTCCAGGAAGCCCTGATCTTCTACCAGCTGTGAGTTGATATCATGTAGCTTAGCGACACACACTGCGGCAGTCTTCCTGACATAGGGGTCTTCATCCTTCAGGCATTTTCTCAAGGGTTCACAGAGGTATTCAGTGATTTTGTCCACCCTGATGCATCCCATGGTCCTCACTGCTAGTGCACGGATCAGAGGATTGGGATCTTCACAATCCTAATGAAGCAATAATATTAATAACATAGATGAAATTGTTAGGAAACACGATAATGGCACAGCATTTATAACCATGAGTTTTTCCATGTATCATTGTCATACAAAATTTGCCCTATAAGTTAAGAAATATTAGTCAAATCCAACTAGTGGTCTACATCAATGCTGCATTCTGATTGGATGAGCTACTACTAGGATATCAGTTATAGCCTAATAATAGCAAAAAGTGATGGCTTTGAAAAACAAAACATTGAATGCAACTTTATTATAAACTTGTATACATCTATATACTTGGCCGACTAGTTGGAATCAGTCCTCTTGCCTTCATGGCTTACGAGTCAATAGCCCATTCAAGCTCAAGGACTAAATTGCTAATTAATAGTACTTTGAAGGGAAAGTATGGCTTACCTTGACAAACGTATTGACAGCCATAATAGCCATGTCAGGCTGGGACTTGGCATAATTCATCAAGTACAAATACACAAGCTTCTTTAACTCCAGATTATCAGTCTGCATGCAGTTCACAACGTCAGGGAACAATGAGCTAAATCAATAAATATTTCATGAAAATATGTTTTAGATATTAGAAAAAATATTTTATGTGGTTATTTATAAGCAAAGTTAACTTGGAGTGAAATCTGATCAGTGGTATAATAGTGGTATAACAACTTGTTTGCTCAATAGCTATAGCAATCAATAGCTTGTGTTTCTTGCTTTGACCCCAACCTCCCTTCTCTGGCAGTTAGTTATGSCAAGTATAAACAATTCTATAAATAATTCACCACTGGCGAGGTTGCCATGGTCACCTCTTGCTAGTTACTAGCCTTGTTTATTGCCCAGTTTACTGTCAGGTGTGTAACCTTCATTCTTTTGAAAAGGAGAAGTTAATAACAATATAACATTGAAGTTTGCGCTGTAGATTTACCTGACATCCTTCCCAACGGTCATGCTGGCAATCACCTTCTTCACTGCTTCCTTCTTTCTGTCCTTTTTGTCGCTGTTCAACTCAGCTTTGAGCTCAAAAATTTCACCTGATGAATTTAAAATTGGTTGTGTATTTAACGAATTTATAAGACTTCTTTCCAAAATAAAAAAAAAACTACAAACCTGAATTAAATACATCATTATCCATACACATGTTGTATTAAGTTTCATGTGCAATTCCTTAAATGCATTTCCAATTTTTTAAGAATTATTCATCTAGTGCAAATTAACGTGTACAATAAAATGAATACTCAGTAGTTGTTTTGTTTGATATCCTTCACTTCTTCCTCATATTGTGCTCAACAGGTCTGACAGGTTGCCACAGAGAATAAAGTAGCATCAAACCTGTATCATGTTTTTAATCTTATATGTACCTTTCTTGGTGGTGGTGAAGTACTTGGAGTCAGTCATGATGTCCTACCTATGAAGGAATAAGGTTATCATACTAGTTTAGCTACAAAGTCAGACATACTAATACTAAAACAATGCAAACTCTAGCCTCATTAGGAGTTTGGGGGAAATGGATCTTTTAAACTAAATTTGGTATTTTGCTCTTTTCTCCAAGAATGATTACACATGTGGGGTTATCATTACAGCAAAGAAGGCTTTTATGGAAGTCAATCAAGGGGATTCTTGATGACGTGGTTAGGAAATGCGAAGTTTTCATGAGCATGTTGCTATGGATTGTCATGGAAATGCCTTGATTGGCAGTGATTCCCACAAAGTGACTCTTCACCCAATGAATTTGAATCTTATCATCTTCTCCAACAAATAGACAAATTAGCGTTAGTAGAAATGCTTGCTTAGAAAAAGATTTCTTTTGATATAGTGTTTAGCATAAGCTTGATAAGTTCGGTATAATCGGTTGACAATAGGACTAAAACATCTTTTAAAATGCTTAAATTTTAGCAAAAAAGTGATTTATCTCGGGTCTTGCTATTTTCTAGAGTAAAAGTAAAAAATTATAAAAACGCAATTCAAAGCATTTTGTATGAAGAAGAAGAAGAATCGGTACAAGGCACCCGCCTACCGGTTGTAGTAAGCACTTCCGGTAAAGGATGGTTGAAATCAGGCCTCAAAAAATGGCTAAAAGCCACTACCTTCATCGTCCCAGCGTAACAGCACTGACAGATAAATAAATAATACGTCCTGATAATCAAAGATTATTTGAATAACTTACTTCTGTACGTCGATGGAATAAGATTCTTTGCAAGATGTCTTCACACTTTCGTATTAGCAAAGATGGCTGCCTCGGCTGCCCTGCCAACTTGCTAGTCCCCAGTCTCTCCAGAGAATCAAAATACAGTTTGAACCAATGGGGGGGGGGGAATTATTCACGACCATAGAAATCAAAATTTTCACAAAAAACTAATGCCCCTCTTTAGAGTAATTTTTCATGAATTTCTTAAACAAAACAAATGCTAATCAAGTAATTCTCCCTGCTTAACAGATTTCAATTTCAGATGCTTGGCTTTTCTTGGCTTACAAAAAAATTTTTTTCTCATTTACAGACTGCCGAATTCAATTCCTGGCAGTTTTTAATTTTTGACAATTTCTCAAGTGAAAAGAATTCTAATAAAATCTAAGCTCCATACTCAAACATAACATATTAATTTTTAGTTAGCCATCCTCTTAAATTAAATACTAATGACTTTTAGTAAGCACTAAATATCATAAAATATATGGTCATAAAATTTTAAAATTTTTATTGACCCCAGTGATTGTTCCTCCAAATCCCCACAGCCACCCAAACCATAAATTATGAATGCTCTGATCCCTAGTAAAAACATTTTATCCAATCACAGAACACTAGTCCCCTATGCAGCTGCTATTTGTGTCATCAAGCGATGTTGCATGACAACGCTTATGGTGGCTGTGGGAGATTAACAGAACACTTATACTTCCCACCCTTAGGAGCAGACCATTGCCATGACAGCACAGTGCGGCTTATCCAGACGCGACCCTTCCTTTCATTGCCCTGCTTTTGTTGGGCTTCCTGTGCTATCTTCCTTCCTGTGAGCACAGGCAGCCCAACACATGGGGAGCAGTCAAAAGAGCAAGCACCTGGTCTACAGTCTAGCATGTCCATCTAGTGACTATTTTATAATCATAAAAAATCTTCAATTTTTTTTATTAACAAGAACACGCAAGACAAGTGTTTGCACTGTTGTAACATATTCATAATATCTTTATTCTGAATTGTGCTTTTAAAGTCAGCATTTTCAGCATCTTTACATTGAATTCTTAACTTTACAATGCTTTCAGTTCTTTCTTTAGTGACACAGGAAAAGATTCTTGTTTAGATTAAAATTGGTGTATGTACAAGTTGAGACACTTCAACAGTTGGATTTCATTTATTCTGGTATATCAATAACTAAATCATCGTCTCCTTCATAAATATTGCCTTGAAAACTGGCTGAGCCTGTGGAGTCTTCATTTTCACTGTTCGAAAACGAAAAAAAAACAGACTAAGAAATGTGGTAAGAAATGGTATTTACTGGCATTGCGCGTGTGAGAGAAAATTTTTGCATTAGAAATGAAGTTGGATAAAAATAGYTAATGGTACATATCACTACTATTTTGCTTGCCCAATTTATTGTTTTTACGACTCTATTGGGTAATCTAAGCTATAAAGTACATGTATAAATTAGAAAAGTAGGATATTAGAAAAATGAATGCGAAAAGTGAATGCTAGGTACTTCCCTTGAGGACGCACATTAGATTGAATAAATATAAATAAAAATATATACTATTATCTGTGACACGGACACTCGCTCATTACTGTCCTGAGCCTCCTATTCTTGGTATGTATTCCATCCCATGGGAATAAAAAGGACAGAAGACATGGTCAGGAGAATAACAATAATGCTTATTGATATAGATTAGAGTAACGCTACGTCAAAGGTTCATGTCAAACCTCCTAGAGACCAGAGAAGAAGTTCAAAGTAATGGGGCTTTGAGATATCCAAATTGTATTGTTACACTTCTGATGCAAGTCAAAAAGATGTAGCCTAGTCTAAGACATTTGGGGGTTCCCTGTAATGGGAATGTGCCAAATTTAGCAACAGATATATTAAACAATACCAAATCTTTTGTGCTAGTCAACTAACATGGCAGCCATAACGTCATGTGCCAAGAAAATTAAGGATAAGAGAGTTCTTTTTTCCTTCTGTACCTTTCTGGTTCATCATCTTCCATATTGAATACATCATGTGGTAATTGTTCTGTAGCTTGTGGTACTTGGCTTGCTGTACTAGATTCTGACAAGCGATGAAGACTTTCAAGGTGTTCAGCCTAGTTAAGAAAATATAAGAACAATAATCCAATAATAAGCCAATATATTTTTGTTTCTCATAATACACCCAACAAAATTACTTGATTCTGATTGGATTTGATAGATACTTGTGATGTTTTGAAAGTTAGTACAAATTGGACTCGCCTAAAGGCTTGCTCGTCCAATTTTGAAAACTTTCAAAACATCACTCGTACCTATCGATGCTGATTTGTGCTTGGGGTCGTGCGATTTCCTAATGATCCGAATTAACAATAAATGAGTAGCTTCTTATAAAATAGCACCCAATGTGTATAGGTAGGGTCTGAGGGGAAGGGGAGAAAGAGAGAAGGGGGAAAGGGTAGTTGGGCAAATATTATTTTCCTTATGTTGCCTTTCCTAACATCTTGATCCTAATGACTACAGGAAGAGGTTAATAAGCAGGACTTTTCTACTTAATATACATGTAATGTTATACTACAGCTACTTTACCTTGTCAACGGAAGTATCACCTTTGCTGGAATCACCAGAAGCTGTTCTACTCCTCTTCACCGTTCCTGTCATTCCTAAAACCAATACAATGTATATAAAAACCTTATTACATGAAATTTTCGGGACGATTTTGGAGGTCGCATATTTTGCGACACTTAAATCTTGCAATTGTGAAAAAAAACGCCATTGAAGAAGAAATAGTTTGTGTAAACGTTTTCATATCAAATTAATAAATAAAATATTTTCAATTTTTATTCAAATATGCATTATTATATGGGGGTCACTTAATTTTCACGTCATTATACTCATTTTTGTGTCACTTTGATTTCAGGATTTTTTTTAAAATCCTGAAATCAAAATGTCCTGAGTTAAACATAAGGTAAACATCATAATTCAGATTTTTAACGACCATCAATAATGGTGTATCAGATCTTACCTCGTTTAGTTAACCTGACCACTGTCCTATGAGCACCACAATAACCAGATTTGGATCTCTTACTGACCAATTCCTGGCACTGTTTACCCTGTCAATATAATATGACATGTTTTAATAGCCATCTTTAAGGGAGGGGGTATTTATTAGGGCGTGGTAGTGATGCAAAAGGTGGGGGGATAGGGGTTAAGAGTTGCCAAGAAGAAAATTGTGAAAGGAACAAAAAGCTTCCAAATTTTTGCTTGCCGTGGAGGATTTTAGTTAAAAGCCAACAAGAGAGATTTAATTTCTGAGAGTGTGTGATGGGTTGAAAGGAGAATGTACTGCCTTTTAAGACTGCAGGTATTATAAATATAACAGCCACCAAATACTCACATTACTCATAAATTTACAAGGAACTAGCTTTGAAGATACATGACCTCCTGTTGACTGCAACGAAAGATGGAAGAAACCATTTGAGTTCATTATTGCAGAAAACTTCCAGGTCTAAGCCAGTAGATACAGAAGAAAAAAAGTACCCATGGAGAGGGATTAATGGTATCTCCAACCAGCTGAGTGGTGAATTTTGTTTCAGCCAATCACAGCGTGTTTAGCTGTTTTGCCGCCGACCCTCATTACCAGGCTACTGTAACCCAACTTTTGCATATCTTTCTGTTTCTTTTTTTTTGTTGACTAAAATATAATATATGTGCCTACAAGAAGCAGAAATATAGAAAGCAAGGATAAAAACAAATTCACTGTCCTTACTGCCATGTTTGCTTTGTTTTTTCAAGCTCAAAAAAAGGACCAGCGCTGCGTTCACTGCTCAGCTGGAAGGGGTGGAGATGGTATGAGGAGGGTACAGTATATTGTGTAGGTACAGAAAATACCCATACCTCCCCCATGGAAAGGGATAATGGAATTTCCAGGGTCACATTGATGAACACAAATCCTTTCCGTGGGAAGTATCTTAATATTTATGATGAATATAATCAAGCCCTTTTTCTCTTACCACTTTATTAGCTCCTTCCTTTTTAACATTGGTGCCAGCAAATAAATATTGGTTTAGGTTATCTGCTGTCATGCCATGATTGGGTAACTGACTTTTCTTGATTCTGCAAATAAATAAAACACTCATTTATCAGTGAGGGTGAAAAGAGATATTGAGGTTAGCCCTATCGTGAATATCTCCTAGGATGATATTAGAATTTAGTAGTTGATTTTTGAGGAGGGAGGAAAACTGGAGTACCCAGAGAAAAAACCTTGAAGCACAGGAGAGAATCAACGAACATTAATCAGCTCACAATATACAACACCTATCTCAGCGAGGCTCGAACCCTGGTCACCTTGCCGAGAGGCAAACAATTTCTCGTGCTTCCCAAAATTCAAAACTAAGTCAATACCTGGATTCATAATTATGCAATGCCATAATTATTGCCTTTTTAAGGCAATGGTTAGATCGAATAATTAAAATTTGGAAAATGATTTTCGTGGAGGGAGGAAAAAAAGGAAAACCCAGAGAAAAATCCAGCAAAGCACAGTAGAGAAGCAACAAATATCTCAACTCTCATATGACACAGAGTTGATGAAACTCAACCCCAGGTTACCTTGGTAAAAGGTGAGCGTTCTTACCACAACACCACCCCTGTTTCCCTTCATTAATCAAGTTCGTAGATATAGTGATCAAAAGTTTTTAGTTTCTAGGCTGGACTCTAAGATATTAAGCATGAAAAAAGCTGGTCCAGTGATGAATACCTACTTGTTACTTTGGCTGGGTGAATTGGTTATCATAATCTGAAGAAAAAAGCCATGAAATGATTGTCATGAGTGGAAAATAGTGACTGAATGGAGACCACAGTTTAAATGGAAAAGACTTTGAACTGTTATGTCTCATACCTTAGATCCTTCATCACTTGCTTCTGATGAAGAGGCTGTACCATCCTCATCTAAAATAAAATGATAAGGAAGTTGAGCTACATTCAGTGGGTCAAAGAAACAACGAACTTTCTCAGAGCTTTCTCAGCCTCAAAGTGCATTACAGCCATTCTCAATTACAAGTGCCGCTCTAGCAATTGTTTCTGTYGCGACGAAGAAGCTTTTGGTGGACGTCAATCAAGCTGTTTCCATGACATTCTACATATAGGCACGTGCCCTTATAGCTTTTTGTTTTCCGACAAAGTTATGGAAATGCCTAGTGATTGACGTCCAAAACACCAAAACCTTCTTCGTTGTGACAGAAACAATCCCTAGAGGGTTGTGTGATTTAGAATGACTGTAAATAGATGACAACTGTCACATGCCTGAAGAAGATGGGTCCACTTGCTCATATTGAAGAAGTCGATCAAGAAGAAAACTGGAAAAGATTATAAACAAATATTAGATGCCATTACAGCTGAGATGGATAAAATACCTGAGGTCTTGATAATTTCCAATATCATGTGAAAAATGAATTCAATAACTGTTTGATTAACATTGGCTTATTTCTCACCTTTTGTCTCTTGAAACTCTTAACAGTTTTTTCTGAACTCTTTGTAAATTTTCTTGAAAGTATTCTTGCTCCTAAAGATAAAATTATGATATTAAATRTTAACACACCAATAATTCTACCTAGACCCACATATACAAACTTATTTATGTTTGTTTTCAGAGGTGGATGTTGAATGATTGCAAAAGGCAGTTAAGTACGGTATAATAGTATACCTAATAATATTTTAGTGCTGTTTTTTGATTCCRCTGATGTTGTCATCAATACTGCAGTTGTCGTTGCTGCTGCTGTTGTCATTGCTGCTGCTGTTATTTTTAAGATGATTTTTGATACTATGATACTATGCATTTTTTTAACACTAATCCCATAACTCCTAGCACTCGTACTAATCCTTATTTCGTTGCCCCCATTTTTGTTCTGTCATTATCATTGTCGCTGCTGCTACTGCAGTCCTTATTGTTGCTTTTTTGATACACTTTATATAAATCACATACTTACATAAAGCAAAAACTTTAATTTTCTCTTGAGTGTTTTATATTTCTTTCTATTATCTTGGCCTTCATCAAGATGATTGTTACTCTCTGTAGAAAGAAAGGTTTAGTTAATCTTATCAGTAACCTGTTAATTTGTCATTTTACAGTTCGGTTCAATGACCACGAAATAATAATAGTTCCAAGCCGAGGTTGGAGTTGCCGCACACAATAAAAAGTATAGTTTTGCTAAGCGCGGAAACTCCAACCCTCGACTTGGAACTATTATTCGTGGCCACTGAACAGAACTGTAAAATGGACTATTATATCTACATCATTAGATAGTGATCATTAGAACACTCTTCATATTCCAGTAATCCACTCAACTCCAAATATAACATGTTTTTCCTAATATACTATCGTCGTATCAAATTGACTCAAAATAAAAATTGGCTCTGCTTACAGGGAAAGCTCAGACGAATATTTTGAAAGACTAAACACGACAATTGATCTAAGATTAATTAAGTTAAATATTTCTGGAGATTTAAAGCTGAAATTAATAGCACTTACTTAATCACTACGCATCAAAAAAGTATCACCTATTGCCTTCAAATTTATAAATCGTAAATTGGTTTAATATTTTTTCGAGCAAATGACAAATGTTTGGCTCAAGCAAAATTTCATGACGGAACAATTGAGTAGTAATCTTACGCAGTTTTGTTAAAGAAGTAGATAATGTTTTGGTATGAACAGTAAGGATATGAACGTTTTATGCAATATTGGTAAAAATTTAGTCTAGAAAGGAAAGTAATTCGGTAGAATTTTTGGGTTAAATTCGTAAAGGACTCACCTGGCACAGGCATCATGGCCGCCATGAAAACACACAGACGAGAGAGGACTGGGCGACGACACAGGAAACCCATGAAATAGCGTATATTAATATATTTTCATTTATTTTGAATTATTAATTTGGTGTTGACCTTTACAATGTTTTTTGCCTAAAACAACCTCAGGGCTAATTAAAGTCAGGGTACGACTTACTCACAGATCGATCAGTGAAGCTTTTCCTATGATAAGAAAAGCTCTGCAAAGCTGTAAAGGTCAAGAAAAAATCAATAATTTCATTCACCTGATTTAAGAGTATCCATTTATCTGATTTAGGAAGCGGGAGGGGGAGGGGAAGGGCGGAGACTTGAGATGACCCACTTCAGCTCCTACGTCTTTATGGTCCCCAGAAAAAGTGTTTCAGTGCTATTAGTTTCGGATAAAGATTATTTCGGGTCTATATTGAATAGATAAACTGCTGACACAGATAATGGACTTAATACTGTTTATTCTATTAAATTTGTTGGCAAATTTATGATGTTAAAATCAGCTTGGTTTTAGCAGCTGCTTGATAGTGTGTTGTTTTCCATTAGAGCAATATACTGTGCTGTCAGATGTATAAGATGGATTCACAAGACCTGGAAATACAAAAATAGGAAAAAAATATTCATACATGATTCCACAAACGTTTTCTTTAGGTGTTTCAGTGTAGGGATAACCTAAGAGGACCCTCTATTCAGAGGACACCCTTTAGCTGCATGAATATCAAAATATGCTCGTCCCATATATTTAAAGTAAAGCGAACCTCTATTATACAGCTATTTCAAAAAAGGTTGAATACTGAATATTGCATACTGAATAGTGCATTCCAAGACCAAAGGGCATTGTGGGTCTCGTTAATTTGAAATAAAAAGTAAATGTACAGCAATTAACTATTTACATGTAGTTAGTATATTGTTTCAGATGGAAAAAGGTGGGGGGCTGCACCACGATTTCCGTTGCAAGGTACTAGGGTACATGGGGAATACTCACCGCAGTAATAACCCCAGCAGCTATCGTCTCGTTGCCATATCGTAACATAAATCGACCAAGGTCTTTATAATCCTTGTATAATTCAACACACACAGGCCTACTGGTGTGGATTTCAACCTCCGCGTTGGAATTCTTGGTCAAGCACCTGAAATATTAATACAACATCTTAAGATCTATACAAAAAAAATCCTAAATGACAGTATATTGTGCTAGTTACTAGTCTACTATGCAGACATCCTTAGGGTTGTCACGCATCGTTCGTGGCGAAAGAAGCGTTGTGTGACAAGCCTATGACGTCTGCGTGAGAGGCTGTCGTTGCCCAAGTTTAAAATGAAGAAGCTTGGAACGAAGCTAGGACTTTTAGGGGCCAAGTGGAACTCGCTAACTCGCCGGGAGTTTCGTCACGCGACACCATCATAGCATCGTAAGTTTCGGAATGCGGCACGGAATTGACGACATCCGCTGAGCCAATTCATCCAATACAAATTCGTCTTTTAGAGCGGTCACGGTTCACGTCGATTTTTTTCGCTTACACACGGAAACCGCTCATTAAAACAATTGTTTTGACTGTGAAAAAACTCACGGAACGTGCTGTGCGGTGATCGCGCAGTATCATTGGTTGAATGGATGCCGTCAAATCCGTATCTGACAGTGCTGTTTCTCATTGATATAGAATCTGTTGCATCAATTGTGGAAGCAACTTCTTGAGAATAAAACAGTGTTTTATACCTTGGTTTTCGTTTGACTACTTCTCCGGTGCTCTTATTTAGTAGAGCAAGAAGTTTCTTGACGCTAGCCGGTTCACTCATGGTTTGGTAATGGAATAATACCTAAAAAGAAATTCCTTTTCGTCAGGTTATTTCAAGGTTCGATTTGTGAGTTAGCCATGCCCTGACTTAGATCAGCCCAGAGGTTGTTTCAGGGTTCTATCTGTGAGTTAGCCATGCCATGACTTAGATCAGCCCAGAGGTTGTTTCAGGGTTCAATCTGTGAGTTAGCCATGCC